AATATATGTGAACTGCTGTATGAAAAGTAAATTTACTCTGTAAATCTTCACCCAAATCCTAATAAAAAGAAAAAAAAAAGAAAGAAGTAAAAAAAAAAAAATCTTCAACAAAATCCTAGCCAACAGACTTCAACAACATATCAAAAATACAATACATTATGATCAAGTGGGGTTCGTATCAGGTATGCAAGGATGGTTTAACATTAGAAAAACAATGAACATCATCAAACACGTAAATAAAACAAAGGAAAAGAACCGCATGATCATATCAATCGATGGAGAAAAGGCATTTGAGAAATTCCAACACCCTTTCCTGATAAAAACTCTCAGCAAAATAGGAATAGAAGGGACATTCCTCAACATAATAAAGGGCATCAATGCAAAACGAACAGCCAACATTATTCTCAATGAAGAGGAACTGAAACCATTCCCCTTGAGGACAGGAACTACACAAGAATACCCGCATCACCACTTCTATTCAACATTGTATTAGAAGTCCTAGCCAGGGCATTAAGGCAATAAAGGGAAAATCCAAATTGGTAAGAAAGACGTGAAACTAACCCTATTTGCTGATGATATGATCCTATGCCTAGAAAACCCAAGAGACTCAGTAAGAAATCTACTGGAACTAATTGAAAGATTTAGCATCATGGCAGGATACAAGATCAACATCCAAAAATTAGTTGGATTCCTCTATACCAGTAAAAAGACTGATGAAAAAGAAATAAAGAAATCAATAATATTTACAATAGCAATGAAAAAAATAAAATACATGGGAATAAATTCTTACCAGGGACACAAAAAACCTGTACAAAGAAAACTATGTAACTATAAAAGAGATTGTTCAACAAATGGTTCTGGCAAAATTGGATATTTATTTGCAGAAAAATGAAGCAAGATCTTTACCTCACACCATATATAAAAACTAACTCCAAATGGATCAAAGATTTAAATGTGAAACCTAAAACTATAAAGTTCCTCAAGGAAAAACTAGGGGCAAATATAGAGGCCCTAATATATGGCATAGGAGCTCTGGTAGCATAGTGCCTAAGACACTTGACTGCTAACCAGAAGGCTTGCAGTTCAAACCCACCAGCCACTCCCTGGAAGGAAGATTGGGCAATCTACTTCTGTAGTGATACTGCCTCAGAAACCCAAGGAGGGGTCGCTGTGAGTCGGATCCAACTCAACGGCACATAACAACAACGACAATATATGTCATAAACAGACTATCAAGCATAACCCAAAATGCACAAAGAACATAAGATAAACTAGATGAATGGGACCTTCTAAAAATTAAATCATTATGTGCTTCCAAAGACTTCTCCAAAAGAGTCAAAAGAGAACCTACAGACTTGGAAAAAATATTCAGCAATCATGTATCTGACAAGGGACTTATCTCTACTAGGGACTATCACACACTGCTAATAGGACTATAAAACAATACAACCACTGTGGAAAGCAGTATGGCAATTCCTTAAAAAGCTGGAATTAGAATTACCATTTGAGCCAGCAATTCCATTACTAGGTATATATCCTAAAGAAGTGAGAGCCAGGACAAGAACAGATATATGCACACCCATGTTCATTGCAGCACTATTTACAATAGCAAAAAGATGGAAACAACCTAGGCGCCCATCAACAGAAGAATAGACAACCAAACTATGGTACATATACATAATGGAATATCATGCAACCCTAAAGAATAACATAGAATCTGCAAAACATCACATGACATGGATGAACCTAGAAGACATTATGCTGAATGAAATAAGTCAATCACAGAAGGACAAATATTGTATTAGCCCATTTTTGTAAAAAGTCAAGGAAAGGTTTATATATGGAAGGAAACTTTCTTTGGTGGTTATGAGGTGTGGGAGGGGAAGGAGGGGGAACACTGTTAGATAAGTACACACACGTATTGATTTGGGTGAAGAGAAGGGCAATATACTAAATACGAGTGATCACCATGGTGGCACTGAGGAAGGGTAAGACATAGAGAGGTACATGGAAGGTACAGACAACAAAGATGAACCCTTTTGTACATACAGTACTGCCTTGTCAGTGATAACAAACACTGATCTACAGGTGGATAGATGGCTAGACAGGCTGAATGATTAGGTATATGCCAGAGGGGAGAGGGGACTGGCCATGACCATGTATAGGGTTGGCAGACAATGTTTATACAAGTACATTTGTATGTTCGGGAGCTCTGGTAACATAGTGCCTAAGGCATCTGACTGCTAACTAGAAGGCTGGTGATTCAAACCCACGAGCCACTCCTCAGAAGGAAGACTAGGCAATCTACTTCCACAGAGATACTGCATTGGAAACCCAAGGAGTGGTCGCTATGAGTAAGATCCGACTAGACAGCAGTGAGTTTAGTTTATTTTATTTGCATGTTCTATAAGAATTCCCAGGAATATAATAGAGCTGACAAGGGACAAGGTTGGCCACTGACAGCTACCCAGAGGGAACGAATAGTTGGACCTGTGGGCTTGGGTCCATAGACATCAAGCTTCATTGGCATAACATACTACACAAAACATTGGCATAACATACTACACAAAACATTGTTCCACATCCTATTTTGGTGGGTAGCAACTGGGATCTTAAAAGCTTGTGAGCAGTCATCTAGATGGAACGATAGGTCTCTCCTTGTTCAGAGCAAAGAAGAATGAAGAAAACCAAAGATTCACGGAAACAGTTAGTCCAAGCTACTGGTACACCATGCGATCCTCAGCCTATACAACTATGACACCAGAAGAACTAAATGGTGCCCAGCTATCACTGTCGATCACTCAGAGGGGGATCTATGTAGGAGATCCTGGATAGAGTGGGAGAACAATGTGGAAGGAAACTCAAAATCATTTGCAGGGGGAAGTGGAGGGACTAGGTTTGCTGGTCTCATAAAGCTTGATGGAACTACTGAGACTATGGCCCCTAACTGCCCTTCAGGTCTGAAACTGAACCCACACCTGTGGCTTCCACCCAAACAAAAGACAGGCATATGAGCTGAACTTTGACACTAGGCAGATACACTCCTTGGAGAGAACACTCATGGGAGAATAGAAGGGTTGTGCATGTACAGGGAAACAGCTCAGGGGGCAGGAGTGATGGAAGGAAGGACACAGGAAGAGGTAACTATGGCGAGGAACTGGGAGGGGAGCTGCTGCACTGTAGCAAATTGTAGTCAATGTCATGAGACAAAGTGTATGTGAGCTGCTGTATGGAAAGTGAATTTGCTCTGTAAAATTGCACCCAAATCACAATTAAAAAAAAAAAAGAAAGTAAGTTTTGTAAATTTAATTGCAATTATTTTAAAAAGAAAGTTACCACTAACAGTATAATAGTAAAAATAGTTTTTTTCCTCCAAGATCACAAGCTCTTCAGAAAAAAATGTTGGAAATACAGAAAAGTTTTAAAAAGAACCTGTAAAACCACCAACCCCTCAGGGGACATCATAGTGTGTTTCCTTCCAGGAAAACAGTACTTTAAATTAAGGTGCTTTTCTGCAAATCTTCTGCTGGTTTCTGACCTCTAGAGAGAATATATATTCTTTAATGTATAATCAAGACAAATGTGTCAGCAAAGATACTAAGATGTGGTTTCTGGTATCAAAGAAACACATGAAGCAATCAGCATCTACAAAGAGTTTTTTTTTGTCTTTGCATTTCTTACCTGGTTATTTTCTTCATCCTCAAATACAAAATCTTCCTGCATAACTTCATTGTCTAAATTAGTGCTAGCCACAGGTTCTGAACAGTCTCTGTTACTCTCACTGGCATTAATAATATCATCAGCAATATCAACCCTAGTAATGAAAATTGAAAAATCTTATCAGGACAAATGCTGAATATGTAATGTCTTTAAAATAAATAATTATCAATAATGATCTGAAACTTTTTCTTGTTAAAGAAAATGTATCCTTTTCATAAAAATCCATACTCTGTCTTGCTAACTTAGATTATTCAATTTACTAAGGTTTTTTTCCCTCACTGTAGAATACTGTTGAAGACCTTGTCTGTCATTCCCTTTGAAAATTTCCAAAAGCAATGAATGGCTTTGAAAGTATTTTATGTGTCAAAATGATTTCTCTTACAAACGCACACTCCCAGTCATAATGACCTGCTTGCTGTGACTAAAAGTCTAGTACTAGACACCACAGTATCCAGCTCCTTATCAAGTACAACAGAAATTATGTCCAATTGCTGATTTTTTATCTTAAATTGTTTAGAATACGCATCTTAGCTTACAAAGACATCACCCTCTATGACAGAACATGAGTTATTTCCCCAGTGATGAGAACAGAATATTGTTTGAATACCAGCACAGATTTATGGGATCCCTATCTAAGTTAAGGCCAAGAGAACAAATTCTCAAGAATATGCTTCTATCACCACCTTTGAAACACTTACCCTTTCTAACTTTTAGATACTGTGGTTTTCCTTCATATTCAGCTGAAATACTTCCTACATAATCTAGTTGTATCAGTAATCATGGCTTCAAAATATACAAACCAGAGCCACCACATATATTTGCACAGGCTGGCAATACCAACTATGAAGACTATGGTGTCTTCAGGGCACTCCTGTAGTTGTACAATATGACTGCTAAAATAAACATTCTGAAAATTGATTTTTGTATCTAATAATATCTTCCAGTGTCACTCTGTATTTAATAGCTATTCTAGTGGACTAGATATATGTAAGGAGTTCCTAAGTAGTACAAACAGAGCTCTGATGACACAGTGGTTAAAGCATTCATTTGCTAATAAAAAGGTCAGCAGTTGGAACAGTCACTCTGCAGAACAAAGAAGAGGCAGTATGATTCTGTAAAGATTTATAGCCTTGGAAACCTTACTAGGCAGTTCTCTCTCCTACAGAGTTGCTGCGAGTCAGAAATAACTCCATGGGAGTTAGGTTGGGTTTGGTTTAAGTGGTGCAAACAGTTAAGCACTAGGCTACTAACCAAATGATGTCAGTTCAAACCTACCAAAAGGCGCCTCGGAAAATATACGTAGCCCTTTTAAGAACTTTTTTTTTTTTTAAACTTTGCTGTTGGGTACATCTTTCTCACTTGTCTATAAATTGAAAGCTGATATGTAAAAAAATAAATCACTACATTGTGGTCTCAGCAGGAATCACATATGATCTTAAAAGACAGGGCTGAATAACAGGAAAGGAGGTGAGGCTTTCCTTTATTTAACAGTAACAGGTCAGAGGAACAGTAGCGGAACCTCACTCATCCCAGGTGCCTTTAAATCACACAAATTCATCTAACAGCTAATCTAAAAAAGGAGCCTAGTAGCAGGGGATGATAACTTAAGTAACAAAGGAGGTTTCTGCTCACCATTTCATTCAATGATCATATGCCCCAGATTGAGCTCTGGTGACATAATGCCTAAGGCATTTGACAACTAACCAGAAGGTTGGCAGTTCAAATCCACCTGCCACTCCGTGGAAGGAAGACTGGTCGATCTACTTCCCTAAAGATTTACCATCTCGGAAACCCAAGGAGCGTCACTATGAGTCAGAATCGACTCAATGGCAGTTAGTTTGGTTTTCTGATCTGGTACCTCCCTGTCTAACTCACTGCATGTCTCTCACAGTGTTACCGTATCTTACACTAAACATAAGTCTACTTTTTTAAAAAGTATTTTTCATACAACATCGTCCTTAAAGATTAATTCAGTACTTCACCTGGCATTCAGAGAAGAAAAACTAGCTCAGTTGGACTTAACAAAAAGATACTATATATACTAACTTAAAGGAAAATTGAGAAGATTTTCAAGGTTAATTAAGTACATACAATTTATATAAAAGTGTATACAAAGTCATTTTTCACAGTGACTTTCAGAAACCCTCAAGTAAGATGAGACCCCATTATGTAAGTAAACATAGTTTTTTTAAGATAACAAAACAATTTTATAACCTTTAATATATAGCAGTAAAATGTTTTTAAAGTTTCTTACTGGTTATTAGATCTTTCCCCATCACAATTAATACTTCCTGCTTCATTATTACACACCAGACTTTGCTGTTGTAAATTCTTAAGTTCATGATCTAGGCTGCTCTGCAGATCAAAAAGGTGTTGTTCCACAGCTGCTCTAATTGTTCTTTCTAAAATGCTATAAAACAGAACACATTTTAATGACAAGTAGTCACCTTAACTAGGTATTTGGCCACATAAACATAAATTTTAAAACCAGTATTATTATGGTAGCTAAATGGGTAAACTGAAATATAGAAAGAATACATGTTACTGGCTCAAATTTTAAAATGAAATTTCCCCCAAACAGATGATCCTATACAAATCAATCACAATGCCACCAATACTGCTGGGGGTGAGGAGTATCAGCTGTCCCAGTAATTCATTGCTCACTATTATTTAGAAGATCATTTAAATGGATAGACTTTTTAAGGCTACATTTAAAAAGCAAAATAGTTTACCAACATTCAGCTAAGTAAAGGGAACTGTAAGGGCACTGTCCATATATTTTACATGAAGTCTATTTTTTTTTAAATGAAAACTTTAAAAAGAAAGCTCTATTAACATTTTTTCAATTATTTCAGATGTTCAAAAAAATTATCTAAAAAAAGCTCATCTTTATATTGTAAATTAACTCAATGGGCTCCTTCTTCATTTGTTCCTATTACTGTACATAAAACACTACTATCACTGTCTTATAAACGGTATTTCCTCTAAAGTGAGCACAATGAACACATGACTTATTTCTACAGATTAGGAATATTTAAAAAATTTTTAAATGTGTCTTCTTTAAGTATACTACTTACTCTGCAGAAGCTGGTAAGATGCTGATGGGAGATATATGGGCACTGCAATCAAAGAAAGAAATTAGCTATAAAACTTTACAATACTAAATGGCTCCAAAATGTGCTGAAAGCTGCCACATTTGTATTATCTTGACAACACCAGGAGAGCATGCACTAAATTTCATGTTTTCAATTACACCTCAGCCTGCAAATATTTACTGAATCTGGTCTTGAACATAAATATCATTATTACTAACAAGATTTTTAAAAAAAAGTATTTACTAAATATTATGGGCAAGCAGCATGATATGCATTTATCTCATTTAACAGTTTACTCCAGGAATTACAATTATTTTCCCCTCACCACAAAACTGAAGCTCATAAATGTTATGTTAATTAACTTGCCCAAATGCACACAGCTTCAAGGGTCAGAACTGGGACCTGAACTCAGGTTGGGGACTCTGAAGCCCCTGTTATTAATAACTATGCTTCACTGCCTTTTAAAACCCCAAAAAGTTACTAACAACAAACATACATATAACACAGCATGAGTATTTCTGAGTATGATTCTATTTTCCAAAAAAAAAAAAAACCTATTTTTATAACAACAACAAAAAAAACCTAGTGCCATCAAGTCAATTCCAACAGTTTCCAAGGCTGTAAATTCCTGCAGACTGCCTGGTAACTCTGAACTATCAACTTTTTTGTTAGTAGCTAAGCACATAACCACTGCACCACCAAGGCTCCCTCATACAAAAAGACCATTAAGTATACATATTTTATGTATCTATATAGATATCTATTTTTTTTAAAAAAATTGCTGTTGAGTCAATCACGACTCATAGCAACATCATGTGTTAGAGTAGAGCCGCTCCATGGGGTTTTCTTGGGTATAATCTTTACAGAAGAAGATTGCTAGGCCTTTCTTCTGTGGCACCACAGGGTGGGTTTGAACCACCAATCTTTAGGTTGGTAATTGAGTATAAACCATTTGTGCCATCCAGGGACATTTATAGATATCTATAACCAAAAAACCAAACTCACTGCCCTTGAGTCAAATTCCAACTCATAGTGACCCAAAGGGGCAGAATAAAACTGTCCATCCCAAAGGGTTTCCAAGGCTGTACATCTTTATGGAAGCAGGCTGTTTCATCTTTGTCCCACAGACAAGCTGGTGGGTTCAAACTGCCAACCTTTTGGTTACCAGCCAAATGTTCTGATCACAGTGCCACCAGAGCTCCTTATATACAACTGTCTATATCTATCTATATATAAATACCCATGATTATCTATATGTCTACCTTGGAATATATACATATTATTACCATCAGGTGCCAGCAAGTAGATTTTAACTCACAGCAACCCTATGTGACAAAGAAGAACTGCCCCCATAGGGTTTTCTAGCATGTAATCTTTATAAGGGCATCACCAGGTCTTTCTCCCACAGAGGGGATGGGCTGAAACCACCAACCTTTCGGTTAGCAGCCAAGTGCTTAGCTGCTATACAACCAGAGTTCCTCCATATGTAGATAGATAGAGATATGTAAGCCAACTACATCATCGCATGCCCCCTTAGAGAAACAATGACTTACTCAAAGGTTGGAGGAAGAATTACTAGTAATGAATTTAAGTGAAAAGTAATATTAACTTATTAATGGATATATGTGATTATTTTCCAGTAACATATCAAACAGTGTTTCACTGTTTTTATCGTCCAATTCTTTGAGAAGTGGATGGCCCCTTCCTTCTTCCCAGCCTGTCTTAGTCTGGAAGCTCTGCTGAAACCTGTCCACCATGGGTGACCCTACTGGTATTTGAAATACCAGTGGCATAGCCTGCAACCTCACAGCAACACACAAGCCACCACAGTACGACAAACTGACAGATGAGTGGTGGCTCCAACGATGGGCTCAGGTATAGCAAAGATTGTGAGGCTGGCACAGGATGGAGTAGTGTTTCGTTCTGTTTATCTAGGGTCACTGTAAGTCGGAGCCAACTTGACGGCACCTAACAACAACAACAACAGGTGATTGTTTTAAAAATCATCTATCAGATAAGAGGTGATTGCTGTTGTTATTAGGTGCCATCAAGTCAGTTTCTACACATAGTGACCTTATGTACAACAGAACAACACACCACTTTGGTCCTGTGGCCCCACCACAAGTGGTGTCCAACTTGAGGCCACTGATGCAGCCACTGTGTCAGTCTATCTCACTGAGGGTCTTCCTCTTTTTTGCTGACCCTCTACTTATCCAAGTATGATGTCCTTCTCCAAGGACCGATCCCTTCTACAATCTGGTCCAAGTATACGAGATGAAGTCTGGCCATTCTTGCATCTAAGGAGCATTCCACTATACTTCTTCCGTGACAAATTTGTTCATTATTCTGGCAGTCCACAGTATATTCAGTAATCTTTGCCAATACCATAATTAAAATACATCAATTCAATAAAATACATCAATAAGGTCTTCCTTATTCATTGCCCAGCTCTCACATGCATATGAGCCCACTAAAAAGACAATGGCTTGGGTCAGGTGCACCTTAGTCTTTGACAGTGGCATCTTTCCCTTTTACACTTTAAAGAGATCTTTTGCAGTAGATATGCCCAGCGCAGTAAGTCGTCTGATTTCTTGACTGCTGCTTCTGTGGACATTGATTGTGGATCCAAGGAAAATGAAATACTTCACCATGTCAACCTTTTCTCCATTTATCATGATGTTGCTTACTAGTTCAGTTGTGAGGATTTCTGTTTTCTTTGAGATGTAATCCATATTGAAGGCTCTAGTCTTTGATTTTTATCAGTAAGTGCTTCAAGTTATCTTCACTTTCAGTAAGGAAGGTTGTATCATCTGCGTATTGCAGGTTGTTAATGAGTCTTCCTGCCATCCTGATGCTGCATTCTTCTTCACATAATCCAGCTTCTCTAATTATCTGCTCAGCATATAGACTGAATAAGTATGATGAAAGGATACAACCTTGACACCCACTCTGCCTTATTTTAAACCATGCAGTATCCCCTTGTTCTGTTCAAATGACTACTTCTTGGTCTGTGTAAAGGTACCCCATTAGCACAATTAAGCATTTAGGAATTTCCATTCTTCAAAATGTTACCCAGATTTGTTATGATCCATACAGTTGAATTCCTTTGCATAGTCAATGTCAACTAGTCAACAGTCACAGTCAACTTAAACTTGCATAGGAGCAACTGACAGTCTGTTCCACAGTCTGCCCCTGGCCTTGTTGTGACTGATGATATTGCGCTTCTCCATCGTCTCTTTCCACAGATGCAGTCAATGTGATACCTGTGTATTCCACCTGGTGAGGTCCACATGTATAGTTGCCATTTATGTTGTTGATAAAAGGTTTCAGCGATGATCAAATTGTTGGTCTTACAAAATTCTATCATGCAATCTTCAGCATCATTCCTATCACAAAGGTCATATTTTCCAACTACTCAATGCTTCTTCTTTGATTCTAACTTTTGCATTCCAATCACTATTAATTATCATGCAAGTTGATTGCATGTTTGGTCAATTCAGACTGCAGAAGTTGGTAAAAATCTTCAGTATCTTCATCTTTGGCTTTAGTGGCTGGTGTGTAAATCTGAATAGTAGTATTAACTGATCTTCATTGTAGGTGTACAGGTATTATCTTATCATTGACAGCTTTGTGCTTTAGGATAGATCTTAAAATATTCTTTTAGATGATGACTACAATGCCATTCCTCTTCAATGTGTCATTCCCGGGATAGGAGACTACATGATTGTCTACTTCAAAATGGCCAGTACTAGTCCCTTGCAACTCACTAATGCCTTGGTTATTAATCTTTGTGTGTTCCATTTCATTTTTTTCACAACTGCCAGCTTTCCTAGAGTCATACTTTGTATATTCCACATTACTATTATTAATGGCTGTTTGCAGCTGTTTCTTCTCATTTTGAATCTTGCTATATCATGAAGTTCTTGAAAGCTTTACTCCATCCACGCCATTAAGGCTGCCTCCACTTTGAAGGAGGCAGCTCTTCCCCATTCATAGTCCAAGTGCCTTCCAAGCACCACTTTTTTGTCAGTTTGTTGTATTGTGGTGGCTCATACGTTTCTGTGATACTGGAAACCATACCACCAATATTTCAAATATCCACAGGGTCACCCATGGTGATGGGTTCAATGGAGCTTCCAGACTAAGACAGACTAGGAAGAAGGAAGAGGTGGTCCACTTCTGAAAAACTGGCCACTGAAAACCTTATGGTTAGCAGTTAAACACTGTCTTATACACTGCTAGAAGATGAGCCCCTTAGGTTGGAAGACACTCAAAAGACAGAAGTAACATGTTTAAACAACAGTGTATCCCTAAGCACATCTGACACCAGAGCCAACACATAACTGCATAGAATGACTCTCATGCAACCTGTTTCTTGACCTGTACAATGTCACCACACAACTGCAGAACCTCTTAGCTGTCTTAAAAAACTAACTACTAGCCCAACAAAAGCACTCCATCCTGGACAGCATAAAGACTTCAATGCTGGCCCTGTACTCTTCACAAGATGTAACAGCATATGCCACTGGGAAGAGGGAGGATGTTCTCATGCTACAGACAGAAAAGGCAAAGTGGACACTGTAAACCAGACTAACTCATAACTTTGTTACAGTGATTGTGTTCCTCCTATTTTCTTTTGATGCTTTCTGCATCATTTAGTATTTTGCCATTAGAATCTTTCAGTGTTGCAACTCAAGGCTTCAATTGTTTCTTCAGTTCTTTCAGCTTGAGAAATGCTGAGCATGTTCTTCCCCTTTGATTTTCCCCTCTGGTGCACCATGGCCGATTGCACCAAGGGGTGTATCTCCATAGAGTAGGTGGGTGTATTGCCCTGGGTTGGGTGTTCTGCATGTAAGTCTTTCTACTGTTGGGCTGAGAGCCAGGCCTTGGAAGCAAGTCCTATCCCAAGCCCGAAGTGTATCTCAGGGCAGGTTGGCAGGTTTTTGTTTTTTTTTTTTAATAAAACTACTACTCCTCAAGTTTACACACTATTTTGGTTATCTATGCCACTCTAATAGAAAATA